GCAGCAGCAGCAGCAGCAGAGGAGGAGTAAAACACCAAACAACAACAACAGGGACGGCAGCGGCGATGGTGTGTTCTGCCATGTTCTGAACCGTATTGAACTAGACAAAGTCGGGGAGAGCGCAGCGACGGAACCAGCAAGAGCAGCGAGTGAGCCAGCGACAGGAAAGCACAAACAAACACACGTCATGGCACAGCAGGCGCACGTGCAGCGGAACCGGCCAGAGGTAATGACAGCTCTTGAGCCCTAAGAGGCTTAATTTCCTGCCCAACGACGCTGTGGAAGCGCCCCGTGCAGCCATGGGGCAAGTGCTGAATCCACAAGACGCGAAGGTGCCATGATCTTGCAAAAACAATGCGATCGAACTGATCAAGGGCAGCCTGAATTGACATGGTGAATCTCCCCGAAAGAGTGTCAAAGAAATACTGCATCGTTTAGGGGGATTTCAGATTGAAGTCTACATCTGCTGGTCCTAGCTGCTACACAATCACGATGCAGTGTAGTCCTGACTCCAATCCTTTTATGTATGTACTTTGTATGTATGTGAAAAGATGGGTATGTATGTATATATATATATATATAGTTAGTTATATTGATATGTAGATATATATATATATATGTGTGTGTGTGTATTATGTACACATACATACAGTCGCCTCCCCCAGGATCCACACCCTCTTTTCAACTCCCATACATATACCGAAATGTCGGAATGAACACAGCCGTCCTTCAGAATTGTGTTTCTTCTCATCGCATGTTGACGAAATCTCGACATAGACGAACTTGCAAAGCAGGATTTCTTTCGTCTGGTTGGGCAACAGATTCCTGACAAACGACTTTGCTGGCGTCGACACAAGAGAGCTAGCTCTGCATGCCACCGGCATGCCCAAATCTTTCAGGTCCCAGAACTTTGACGTGATGAACTGCCCCTCAAATTTAGGGGCAAGCCCAAGGCCCAAAGTGCTGTATTGTATCCAAAAATCTAGAAAATTCTGTTCTCCAGCAAAACTTCAGGTCGCCGCAGCTTATGTGATATTTTTTTGCCCAAACAGTGTGAATGTGGGCAGTGGTAACACTATGGGGCTCTTGCGAGAGAAGTAACGAAAGCGTTGACTGACGTGGCCGCAAAGCGCAGAAAACGGCTCCCACATCCCATTGTTTATAGAAAATTGTAAAAATACTGCCAATCGGGTACGCAAGTCTCCTGCTGTGGTTCGGCGCATAGTCTTCGTCGACATCCTATTAGCTATGTACGGGTGCTCATGAGGCGCGATGCAGGTAAAGAAAGGCTATGGACCACTTTGTGCTCTCGGAAACCTTGAATCGCAGCGGCGCCTGGGGGCAAGCGATTCAGGGTGTTCCTCTGCATCTCGCAAGCTAAGAGGGTAAAACATAGGTCGGCTGCTGCCAGTACTTGCGGAGCAAGCACCAGTACTTCGGGGGAAGCGATGTCGCCATGCTCTCTAGGGTTGCAGAATCCCACCAGTACTTGGGGAGACATTCGGGGTGTGCTGGTGGTCTCTTGGTGGTGTTCTGAGTCGTCCGGTCCCCTGCGCAGTGGTCTCCCTGCTGATGCTTGGTGGTCTCTCCAGAAACATGTTTTCCAGTACAGGAAATGCGCGGAATTCTTCCCGAGGGCTCCTGGAGCGCCGGGGCCTCCTGGCTGGAAACATGGTTCTATCAATTTGCATGTTTCTACTCTGAAGCTCCCAAACGACAACCACCCCCTAAGTTCGAAATCCCGTGCATACCGAAACTGTTCTGAACCTGCAGCGTCTCGGGGTCTAGTGCTGGCCTTGTCGGGTGGGCTGGTGCTGGAAAGGGTGTGGTCCCCCGGCACGGCACTAAAAGTCGTCGAGGACTTGACGGGCACCCGGATTCCCCAACCTGGTGGCACTAGGGCGATAATGCTGCAGCATTTTGCACATACTACCCCGCTCAGCCAGGTACGCATTCGCTCCACCAAACATTCTGTGTCCATTCAATTCAGGCATTACTAGTACACGCGCAGGCTCTGACTATCTGCACATCTGAACTTATATATCTGTATACCTAAGTACTTACATATGTATATACTCACACACGCATATACGTAGTTACGTAGTTTATACTTACATGATGAGATGTCCTTCTGTATGCTGATAGATTTATGCACTTATGTACTGATATATTGATATGTTCATATTAACAAACTTCTGTGCGCTTGTAACCACAGGTTGTTCATATTTTGTATATGTGCATGTGGATTTATACACGCTTGTCTGTCTACTAATATAGGTTGCAAGACTTGTACAGTGAGCTCACTGAGTGTTTGCATAGTTACATCTTTTGCGAATATAGTATATACATATGTACATATATATATATACACTTATGCTTTGGACTGTTTTCATATTTCTCTAAACAAGAATGAAAATACTTGTATATTCATATATTTCGTACAAAATGTGTTGAAGTGCTTACATATGTAAAGGCTAACATATTGCATATTTGTATACAAATATGCTTGTACACTTGCGTAAACATAGCTATATACTTCCCTAGCTTGTATCTACCTACATACATATTTACGTATGTACTGATACACTGGCTTAGTCGCTAATCTTTCATATACATATATACATATACACATATGTGTTTATATTGAAGTTGGCATTTATATTTGTACTTGTATATACATCTTGTATTTGTATTTACATATATGGATCTACCTACGCTGAGATATTCGTAAACTTATATACGTATATGGGCGCTGTTCAATATTATTGTTCCTGGAGTTGACTTAAATGCGGCAGTAGTTGCGTGACGCCTCGCTTGGAAGAGAGAAACGATACCATTACAGAACTCCATGTTTGAACTTCTCGATTGCAAAACTGTGAAGTGTTGCTAGCGCAGGCCACATCTGTGGTGTTTGGAATGCTGGTTCAGGGCAAGTCTTGATGATTGGAAAAAGCTTCGGGCCCGTGAAGTGAAGGTTTGAGAATCAAATATGATTTCACGAAGCGTGCTGACGACCTTGGACTTTTCACGAACTCTCAGGATGTTTCTTCTTTCGAACAGACGTTCTCACGCCATCTGCGGATTTGGCCAAAGTGCGCATGAGGCAGTGGAGAAAGAGAAAGGTGGTCCAGGAGATGAAAGCTCACACCAGTAATTCCTCCAGCTCCAGCTCGCAAGTAAAGGAGTTCACACTCAATTTGGGCACCGGGACTGGTGGCGAATCGACCGCTGCCCAAGCAAGGCGACAGAAATGCAGTGGTGGCTCGCTTTCAGAACCTTGCTAAGCAGCTGCCAAATTGCAGCCACCAGGACGTTTCTTGTTTCGAGCAAAAACTCTCGCGCCAAAATGCGAATGCGAGCGTGAAGCGGAGAGGAAGAGAAAGGTGGTCGAGGAGTTGAGAGCTCCCACCAGTTGTTCCTCCCGCTCCAGCTCGTTTGGTAGACTACTGCAAATGAGAGGATGGGCTAGGCATCAGCGACGAAAAGTTCCCTAGCGCGCTGCAAGCGCGGACCTAGAGCGCGCCTAGCGCGGATTGCCCATGTCATCGCACATTTTTTGGCTCAGGTGTGATGACAGTGATACCTGATGCCTATGCGAATGAAAAGAGCAGTATTACTTGCATGAAAAAAGCTTCTTCAAGCAATATGCAAATCAAGTGACATTGTGAAAAGTCTTTGTCGCCCTAGCTTTGTTCCAGCTGCTGCTTGCAACTCCGTTTGGCTTCGGCCT